CACACTTTTCCACTTACAAGGGAGAGCTACTCTGGCAAGTCTTAACAGAATAACTAGGAAGCATAAATTGACTTTGTCAGGTTAGCAATAACAAGTAGCTGCGGAACAAAGCACACAAGCAAAATCCTTTCCCCAGAAACAGCATCTGTTGTCTTCCTTCTGCTGCAAACTTTTGTGTCTCTGCATGTTGATCAAGGTCCACATTTCACAATGACATTCTAAATTTAAATGACAAAATATGATGAGAGCACTTTCATATCTTATTAATGGGGAATGGTTTACAGTCCTAGTTGGTTTGAAGGCATCCATTTTAGGACTTTGAAGTTTTCAAAAATTGCTGCAAAATCTCATATGGGGTATGCAAATGTACTGCTCTTCCCTCATGGCAGCTCCTTACACTGACAGGAAAGCACCAACACTGGGACCATCAGGGCTCAAAGGAAAATTAAGTACCCACAGAGATTATAAACAAACGGGAAGAAAGAAAAGCTACTAGCTCCTGTAGCCTCGTTTTTAATACAGAATTATTAATCAGCACTCCCCAGATCCTCAGTGGTTGATATAGCTTTGGTACTGGGAAATGTCCCAAATAACTTTGTGTAGCACAGGAGGTCAAATTTATGCCAGAGAAATCATTTTATTTATTAATTATGTCATTAGAAAGGAAGGAGATGAACAAATGGACGGCCTTTGCTCCACCTGCCAGGTAGGGAAGACTTTTTGTCACCCTTGGCACATACTGAATATCTTTCAGCTCTCCATGTGTCTAAACGGCCACACCTTTACCTCCAGAAAGGAAAAGCTGCTCTGAAAGCAGCTCCCACACTACTCCCATAATCTTAACTATTAGCTATAAATAACAGGAACAAAGTACACTTCACCACCACTTTCCATGGCATTTACATTTCCTTTACAGCAGCAGAGAGAATCTTTAAATCCTGCATTGCCTTCTTGGGAATACAGGATTTAAAGAATGCTGCATAACAACTGGCACAATTCAAACAATTCAGCATAGTAAAAGCTTAAAGGCCTTTCCCTTAACCAAGTAAAAGCCACTAATACATAAACAAGATACAACTTGCATGCAACAGCAAGTGTTAGGATAGAGTAAGTCTTACTTTACAGTAAGACTAAATACAGTAAGCAACATGGATGAAACACTGAAAGTAACAACCTAACACATGTTAAGAAGCATGCTGTATCTGCTGTGGCCGTCAGGTTAGGCCACAGAGCTACTGACAAAAGATACACTAGCAAATGGATCATGCACTTTCACCACAGAATCACAGAATCATCTAGGTTGGAAGAGACCTCCAAGATCACAAAGTCCAACCTCTGACATCACACTAACAAGTCCTCCACTAAACCATATCCCTAAGCTCTACATCAAAATGTCTTTTAAAGACTTCCAGGGATGGTGACTCAACCACTTCCCTGGGCAGCCTATTCCAACGCCTAACAACACTTTCAGTAATGAAGTTCCTCCTAAAATCCAACCTAAACCTCCCCTGGCGCAACTTAAGCCCATTACCCATTGTCCTAGCACCAGGCACGTGGGAGAATAGACCAACCCCTACCTCGCTACAGCCTCCTTTAAGGTACCTGTAGACAGTGACAAGGTCGCCCCTGAGCCTCCTTTTCTCAAGGCTGAACAAGCCCAGCTCCCTCAGCCGCTCCTCATAAGACTTGCTCTCCAAACCCCTCACCAGATTCAATGTCCTTCTCTGGCCTCGCTTGAGTACCTTGACATCCTTCTTGTAGCAACGGGCCCAAAACTGAACACAGTACTCAAGGTGCAGCCTCACCAGAGCTGAATACAGAAGGACAATCACTTCCCTAGCCCTGCTGGCCACACTGTTTCTTATGCAAGCCAAGGCACTGTTGGCCTTCTTGGCCACGTTCCTTGTCAACCTAATTTTGCCACTGCTATTTATATTCAAGTATATGATTTTAATATTGGATTGATTGTTTTTTTTTCAATTAATTTTCCAAATTCAAGAAAAAAAGGAAAAGACTAATGGACTGTGAAGTCTGCACCTCAGCGAAGTTAATAGGCTGGGTGAGATGTCCAGGTCACACCTCACTGAGATAAGCTTAATGGGGGACTTGCAGCTGCTACTGATGGACCTCTGAGACTTTCTTCAGCATTAGCAGTGTTCCTGCAGACTTTTGGTGATAGTGGGGCAGCACTGTTAATTCTGGCAAATTTATCAAGTTTCATTGAAACAAGCACATTAAGCTTGTCTTCTTAAAAATCTCTTGCCTAAGAACAGCAGCTCCACCAGCTGTCAAGATATAGCAGGAAGACTATGAATGTTGATGTCAGAAGTTTGAGCAGCTGCTCTAGGATCTGTCAAAATATCTTGCTGGATGCCTGCTGAACATGCCCAAAAGTGATTTTCAGTCTTCAAACTATTATCATCCAACCAGAATCAGATATGGGACAAATCCCCAAGTCAACCCCATTTACATGTGAAGTTTCCGTTTCAAAATATTGATACTGAGTCATTTGTAAAGGAAAAAAGAACTTATTTTCCTAAGGGTAAGATATATGCTCTTCAACTATGCTTGAATGTATTTTCTATAACCTCAAGCCCTGAGTCAAATATATCAATTTTTGAGACCAAAGAAAAAAATGTATTTAAATAAAAGCATGTTATTAAACTAAAACCACAGGAAATTGAGTTTTCATATTAAATCTTGTATTTTCAGGAGAATACTTGGTAAAAAATTGTCCCATACAACACAATTATTCTTTTTTACATGAATAATAAAGTAACTATTTGCAATTTCTGTGTACATTAGTTACGTTACTATTATTAGCATCGTGTTGCATTGTCGGTTTTTCACATGAGTAAATCATTTAATTAGGTTCTAGGACTTGATGTTTTCCTTATAGGATTGAGAACATTTAATAAGACTGTAATATACTGTAATTAGAAATAAAAGCATGCACCTGTCAGGAAACTCAAAGCAGAAAATGTTGTATCTCAGATGAGTAACTTTGACAGTTTTGAAACCAAGCAAAACAGTTCAAGGAGAAAGCCAATTTCTTTCTCCTTGTTCCTACAAGATATGGAGTGAGGAAAGAAACTTGGAAGGAATGTCAAGATGGCACTACAGATATGTACAAATAAACCAGGAGGTGGGCAAGAGTCTTCTCATGTCTAAGTCAGAGGAACATTTCTGCTATTTCTGAAGCGCAGAGTGATATTCTACTGCTATAAATGTGGGGTGCTCCAACAAGGCCGAGCACTGCCTCCAGTTTGCCAGGATAATTGATTAGTCAGTTTATTTGTCTTCATCCACGGAGGCAGAGATCAGCTTGCGGTTGGAAGAATAATTCTGGTGGTGACAGCCCGTTCTTGGCTGCCTTTTGCTTCTGCCCTCTGACATAATTAAACCTGGCTGCCTTCCCATAGGACAGAGGCATATGACAGAAGCAGATACAAAAGCTGCAGCTAGGGGCAGGTTGTCTCTACCAAAATAAGTTGTCTTGCCTGCTACCAGAAGGGCCCTAAAGCAAAGGGGGCAGCTAGGAGTAGATGCATCATATTTTCTGGGCAGCAGCACCCCTTCAGTTACTCTTCATCTTTCCAGAAACCCCTCAAACACGGAGGGATTTACCAGATGGAAGATGTAAGCCTCAGCCTACAGAGAGCCTTGTAGCCCAGTGCAGCAGGTGTACAACATGCTGTACAACATGCATGGTTAGATACAGAAAAAGCTGGACTAAATCTTCCATTCTCTCTTATGGGAGACACTCAAAGGTTAACAAAGGCCCAAACTATTTACTGGAAATATTGTTGATTCATATATTCAGCACTTCTTCTCATTTGCTAGTTCATTTCAAGAACGTCTATGTCCTCTTGTGCTGTGAACAGCCTCTTTAGAGAAGTCTCAAGATAATAAATGTATAAAGTTATGATACCATGAGCATTGTAGTCTGCCTCTATAACCATTTTCTCCCTTTGGTGCCATACTAATATTCCCCATGTAGAATAACATTTTTTTTCCAGAACATTATATGTGACGTGCAGACCATTGCAGAATTATGAAAATTTCTTAGCCTATTTTAAAATTGTTACTGAGAAAGAGATTCCTCCAAAGATTCAGATTGACACATTTCCATAGAATTAAATTTGTCAAGAGAATTAAATTTGCATCAAATGAACATCAAGAAATACATAGCATAATCTACAACTACTCTCAGTGTTTTGCATGACTAGCATATTTACTGAGATGTCCTACAGTAATTCTTATTTTGTCATTATTATTCAACATCATGAAGAGCCTGGCAGTCTTACAAACTGGATTTGAACATTTATGGGATCCTAAAACTATAAGACAAAAGAGCTCATAGATTTCAGCAGCAATTTAGGTAATGCATGATCATGCTTTATGAATTTAAAATAAATTGGGGGTGGGGTGGTACAGCTGTATTTTTTTCTTATAGTGTAAACAGTTTCTAAGGTCCTGTATTTTTAAAACATGGGACAACAAATAATCCTGCAAAACATCAGAGCCAAAATTGAGAATAAAATCTGCTTAAAACCTGTAGAAAGATAAGAAAGAAGGAAAAAAAAAAAAAAAAAAGCAAGTAAAAAGGACTTTTCTGTAGAGTTCCTGGAGTATGTCAAGATATATAAATCCACCCAAGCTTCAGTAGTTAAAGTTAGTTAAAATTCAAGTTTCAGGAAATTTTTCAGTTGACCATTTTATTTTACCAAATTGTGAGAAGAAATGTAATGTACATTTCACATAAATCTTCTGAAATCCATGTGGCCTACCTTCATTGATATGTTGCTTTCCCTATTAAAATTCATTAGACCTACTCAGAATAAAGTAAAATTACTTTTCTCTGAGCTGTTGTGACAAACCTGCTACAGCAGAATATCATCATTGACATGTGTGATGTTAATCTGTCTACCTGTCATTAATAGGGTTCTACCAAGTCTCTCCTACCTCCTCTCAATCTTTTACCTACAGATGATGCTCACCTTCTCCCATTCGCGATCTTTGTTCAGTACAATCACCACCAGCCTGGGATGTGCCTGATAACCATCAGCTGTGAAGGACAAATCTTTACCTTCCCAAGTCACATTCATCATAAACCTAGGAAGGAAAAAAAAAAAAAAAAAAAAAGGTACAGTGAAAAATTAATGAGCTGTCCCAGCAGTTAATGAGCAAGCTAATTCAGTCATCAGAAGCACTGATGAAGTCCATGCATTAAATTCTGTTAACACTGTAAAAAAACATAAAGTGTTTCAGTACCATTTTAAACACATCCACATCAGAACTGTGTGTAACATCACACTTTCGTCTCACTAGTATAATACTCAGAGGTCACTGTATCTGTTCTGGCTTCATCTGTTTAGACCTCCAGGAGTCCTATCAGCCCTTCCTGACACTGCAGCTTTGCTGCATGCTGTCTCTGACAAACATGAATAACTTCCACTAATAACTTCAGAAAAAAAAAAAAAAGACAGACATAGAAACTTTGAAGTTCATTCATTTCAATATTTTCAAGAAGAAAAAAGATTTTTATTTTTATTTAGGTTAATTTTCAGTGGTTTACAAAACATATATAAGCTAATTAACATTTCAAATGAAAAAAAAGAGGGAGGATTTTGTTGTTGTTGTTGAAAATGTTGGTTCAAACCCAAATTTCCTGCCTTTACACTTGAGCATTGAACCAAGAAAATTGTTTATTTACCACAGGCTCCTGTGTAACTTTTCAGCTTCAAAAAGAAAACGTATCCAACTGAAAATTTTGTGTAAATTTCTGTCAATGGAAGGATATTACTCGGGGTACTACAATAAGAGGAGCCACAGCACTATTGTTTGCTTTCTCCATCTTCCTCCTCCTCTACTGAACATGCTAACCTGCATGTTCTAAGGACAGAAAACTACTCCTTATAAGCAATCCTGTCATCAGCAGAGATTACATCATCTCTACCAAGTCATTGCCGTTGAAGGTCTTAAATGCCTTACTTAGTTTTTGCTAATTTTAATATAGTCTACTTTCTAATTGTTGCTTTCCATTCATCATTGAAACACATAGCCTCTTTTCAAAAGCATTGTGCTTTTGGTGGTTCAGAAATGCCGGCATTCTGACTATCTAATAAACTGTTCTTTTGGTCTAGACTTTTCTCACAAAATAATTTTCTCTCAAAATTTTCCACGGAATTGTAACATAATTCCATATTTATATTTGTTCCATTTCTACATAGCTTCAGTAAATCTCAGCAAGAACAGATTGTTTCCACTGCTCCAGGGTCAGAAAGAGTGATGAGAAACTGCAGTTTTTATTTAAAGCACAAATATGGAAACTTGCTGCCAAGAGTCTGCACACAGGCCAAGCTCTCCCTGGACTGTGATATTGCAAAAATCTATCATTTTGCACATTGTCTGAAACTCTCTCACCAAAGAAATTTGGGCACGAAAGGGAAGTGAGTAAAATTATGGTATTGCTGTTGATGTACTTCAGTCATACTGAAAAAAAAATCTAACTCTAGGTTGTCAACATGAGCCTGACCAAGCTATCCTGCGGGTGAGAGGAAAAACCTGAAGTCCCATCCTACTTGAAGATCTTATGGCACTTCCAGAAGATAATGTACCCTCCACCCTATATCCACAGTCTATAGAGACCTACACTGATTCTCAGGGTATTCCACTGGATGAATTCAGTCCAGGTTTTCTCTTAGGTGCTCTCCTTCTGGAATTCCCCACTTAACACTTTCACATCCTATCCCTCAGATGGGTGTGCTATGGAAGGTATTAAAGTTACTCTAGATATTCTTCATTCATTCTTCTGTAATGTTTTATCCACAAGAAACTGATACATTTTACATGGTGTTTTTTTTTTTTTCTAGTAGCAGTATGGTCTCCTGGTGAATCTGACATTGAAATAATTATTTTGTCTCTTGTTCAAAGGAGGCTTAGTATAGACTTAGCTGACCGAAAATCCCAGCAGAAACACGCTAAATAAAACAACATAGACCCAGAAGAAATAATGACATTGTATCATAACAGTTAATAATTAAATGTGCACTGCCCTAAACAACCATATTAACACAATTCAGTACCGGTTTGACAGTAATTTGCAAATTCACCCACTGCAATAACACATATTTTATGACAGACTTGCAGCGTGAAAATTTTCCCCTCGGCAGAACTTTGCTTTTCAGTTGAACTAATTTCCCGTATACTACATTTTTCATCCAGCACTAAAAGAGCTTGCTCAGGAATAAAAAAGCTTGTTTGCCACCTCAAGAGCAAGCGGCAAACCACTGGACAGAACTTGTGCATACACATAGAAAGCCAGCAAAACGCTCACTCACTGCTGAAAATCAAGTGCATTGTGACCCATGGAACAACATGCTGAGGAGAACACTGCAAGGGAAAAGTAAGGACATAATGTGAAAGCATGCACTACTTGTATTCATATTTATGCACCCTCATTCACAGGTCTCTCCTTTGAAATTCCTACAGATGAAATAGCCCCCCACAAGGAATGCCCACTTCTTATAGGGCCAGGCACGAATGAGCTCATCTCTACAAAACTGGAGGCTGAGGACTTTGTGTCTGGCTAAGGACTAGACCACAAATAAGGCTTTGGTGTCCAGTCAGGATTTTAATTACAAAGCCTGGCGATTGGTTGAATTGAACACTTTTTCGTGAATTTTGATAGGATTGTTACCCCAGATTTCAAACACCGCTTATCACATTTTGGGGATTTATGTGCAAATCCTCCAGACTAGAAGCCATTCAATGGCCTTAAGAAGATTCAGTGCTGTAGCTGCAGTAATGTTCAAGCATTTCAAAATACAGATGAAATCTAAAATGAAAAACTGGATTCATTGTATATTTTAAAATGTGAATTTTCAAACCATTGAGTAGTGAAATCTGCAAATTAAAAAATGGTCCCTAATCTGTAGAAGTCTCTTAAACACATATTGCCTGACTCATCTACAAAGGTATCAGTGAATGACGCAGTCTGAGCTACCCCAGTTTCTCAAATCGCAGCAATAAAAAAGAACTTCAAAGGGATTCTTGTTTTCCCAAGCAGGGTCTCCTGTACAAAATTCATCAATTGCCAGTGTGTTTTTCAGAAACCAGTGACTAATGTCTACATTCACTTTTGAATTGTATTTTTCCTCCACGAAGGACAAGACGTCCTGCTCTGCTTTTACTGGCAAGGATCCTAAGGTACCTGTCTCTCTGAAAAACAACTGCATGCTACTCTATTCCTAGATAGGAAGAGTGAGGAAAAAATAGCATTTATAGACTACGTTATTACAAAGTTCTAAATTTGCCGAAGATTAGTTCTGTGCAAGATGTCTTTGTTTTCTGAATTGGTCAAAACATATTTCTGAAGTAGTTTTGGAATTGCCTATTCCTGTTCTTAAATAATTGCAATGCTTGATTACTTGAGCTCCTTACTTTAATGGGGCAATTCAGCATACACCTTGGTTTAGTAGTTAATCTGCTTTCACACCTCATTAATGCTACAACCTTTGCAAAGACATGATAGCAGGAGGCCTTGTGATGGTGGTATGATACTGAAGTGTTAATTGACTTTTGAAAATCCAAGTTCATGACTAAGACTCCCCAGGTGAAACATGTATGAAAGATGGGAATTTGGGGCAGAAGTTAAGCTATTCTCATACTGAATTCAAAACAGGCTTTTATCATAAAATGGGCCAAGCCTGTACTACATTTCAAAAGCATTTTTAAACATTTATACTTTTTTTTTTTTTACCTTCTCCAACAAAACTGAAAAAGAGAAGCGCTAAAACACAACAGAAAACTGTTCACATTGAATTTACAGCAACTATCTGAAGCACCAAGGTTACAAAACCACTCCTCTGAAGATTTCCAACTTAATTTTTATAGATTCAGAAAGATCAAGCAGTTCAAATAAGGCATCGTATTAATGCCAAAACTGTGCAGTATTTACCCAAATTAAAATTCAGATATTTTCCAGAAAAAGAACACATTTCAGTAAGGTAGGACTTCCTACACTTTAAATATTATATCACAACTTCACTGACTCCACTTTCTATTATGGGGGAAGACAGCAGAAGGATGAGAGTGCTACCTCAGTTTTTAGAAGACCGCTTTAACGGTCAGCTGAAACACCTGCAATGCTGTGACCACTCCTGGAGCAGAATCTTTGAGGCTTTTTGTTCTAGTTACACAACAGCAAACATGCTTCCAAGCTGTAGGATTTCTTCTGATGTTTAACACGCGTATGTATATGCAAGATACACAAGCATTGCCCTAATAGATGAAAGTATTTGAGAGCAAAAGCAAGGTTTAGTGCATTCTGTGGCAAGCATATATTTTAAGTAAAAATAATGAAAATTATAAAGATCATTTTGTCGCAAACAAAGATCATTCCAGTATTCAGGGAAGTCCTCACCTGGGAGTACCTTTCCCCATGCTGTACCTCTGGGATGCCAGGCAGGGAACATCCTTGCAAATATTAATTCATAACAAGCAAGCATGCCTGGGCTGAAATTAGTGTGAAATCTGCCCAGTGCCCAGCTCCAGAACAGATCACCAGCTGGGAAAAAAAGAATGGGTAAGGCAGAGGCAGTAATGAAAACTTATCACTCCTAAGCTACCTCCAAGCAAGGGAACTTTGTTATCAGAACTGAGAAACCCATCACAAGACCTGATGGCTGCATGGAGCAGAAAGCCCCCGGGACTCCAAGAGCTCAAGCCTGTGACTCCGGCCCTTACCCTGCAGCGGAAATCAGCTCAGCAAACCCAATAAATCCCTCAGATGCTATCACTGCAGACAACCATTTTTTTATTTAGCGCCTTCCTCACCATGGGGCAGTGTTTCAAATCTGTGACAACTGCAGGCAATGAAGAGAAACAGTGGAGACTTCGGGAAATAAAGGTTTCACAAAAGCAGCTCTCTGCCTCCTTTCCCAAAGAAGGGACTTCCAACATGAGTTTTAAAGTAGATGAAATACCTCATAGGTGCTGCTGTGAAATCTGGAAAATACTTATCAAGAGAAACCTGACAAAAAGTGATTTATCATTAAGAAACAGATTTCTTAAAAATGTCTATAAAATTAAATTGAGAAACTCTGTACATA